ATGTAATAGTCAATTAAATAGCTCATATACAGGAGGTTCACTTTGCAAGATTGGGTATCTGTGGTTTACTTTACCTAGATGGTACTGCAAAGAGAAGGAAGTTGGAGCTTGTCAGCCAGTATTCTTTGTTTGGCAACATAGAATGCCTTAAAGCTGTTAGGTTAGCTGGAAATTCAAGGGACTCACTGCTATTGAGCTTTAAGGATGCCAAGGTATTCTCTTCTTCAAATTTAAGCAATTAAATATTAAGTTTTTTTTTTTCAATGACTTTTTTTTTCATTTTTGCATAAATGAGGTGAATAAGCCTTTTGAGTTGATTTATATCAATTCTGTCACTTTGGAATAACCAAATATTCATATTTAAAGGAGAAATGTTCTTCACTTTAAAATGTTATTTGCATCATGTTGTGGACTTTTAGTCAAAATCAGGGTCAACATTTGATGAAATGTTCTTTCTAATATATTAATGATGAATTGATTTGTAATCAGCCAATGGGAATTTAATTATTTGGTCAGAGAAACCTTAATAGGTGTATGAAAATGAACTAATATTTCCAAAAGATTCAATTGCTAGTTAAATCCTAAGATATTTACAAGACCTGCATTAAATTACATTACTCATGGAGCGCTTTAAGTGAAATGTATGAGATGAGAAAGTTTTCCCATTTTAAGTCATTTTTCTTCCACTTTAACTTCTTTGCCATTTATTTTAGGAAAGGTAAAAAAAAATTTGACTTAAGGTACACACGTGTGCCTTGATAATTAACATGATGTCCAAATTTATAAATTTAAATTCTTTGAAGTGTTTTTTAATAAGTGTCATTTGATTATGCGTGCAGTTTGCTGTGGTGGATTATGATCCAGGCACTCATGACTTGAAGACAAGAAGTTTGCATTACTTTGAAGATGACAAAATAACCAAGGTAGTAGAATTTATTATTAAAACCTCTGCAGTGGTAACCAAAATTTTAAATTTATCACAAAATGTTGTCTTCACAGCAAGAATTGGTTATGATTTAAATAAAAGCTATTGTTAAGTAAAGTAAAGGTGAAGTCTGTACTAGAACCAAAAGACTCCATCAGTTTAGTGGAGAATATGTAATGGCTGATCACTTTCAAGCAGTCCATTCAAAGTTGGTTTATACAGCAGAAAAATTGCACACTTACCCACCAACAAAGAATTACAAATCCAAAACGTTTGCCAGGGTAAACTATATGTGTCATGTTGTTTAGGGACCTGTCTGTTTAAAAGTTTTTGGGTCAAAGCCATCTTTGCCCCAAAACTTGAAAAAAACTTGGGTCTGTACCACTTTCTTCATGTTGTAAAATAGGTTGTGTATGTTCACCATTCCTGATATTCCTGCTTTGTAAATGGCAACGTGAATTTATAATCACATGTTAAATAATGAGACCGATGGTACTTTCCTAATTTTACAGTCATTTTGTATTCCTTGTATCACACTACAGAGTTGCAATCAAGAGTATTTTCGGCCCCCTGTGGTGTGTGTGGATCCTGATCGACGCTGTGCAGTGATGCTTATCTATGGCACACATATTGTGGTTTTACCATTTAGACAAGAAGGAGTATTGGATGAACACGAGCAGGAAGGAACTTTTACAGCAAGGTATGATATATGTGCACAAATGACCTGATTTTTGTAACAATATATCCAAAAAGCATTATGGGACTTACTCTGTAGATGGGTGTATAGATCTACCAAGTATAATTAAATTTGGTCCTAGCCAGGTTAGTGATGTGATGATGTCACCGAAAAATCAAAAACTTTTGGCAGCAAGAAGTAAAAAACAACAACAATGTGCTGTCTGGAAGCATTACATTAGGGTAAACTAATGGTAAGAACAGTCATTCATTTGTTAATTTTACAGTAACTTCTTGAGACACAAAGTATGCAGTGGTGAGGTAAACAAATTTAAGTGATGGCCATGCTTTTTAAACTATAGATCAAGGTTTTTCTTGATTCAGCCTTCACAGTCATTACAGGGTACATGTTTATTTGGTTAAATTTGTGCCTTATGAGTAATGGAGATTGTGTATGGCCTAACTTCAGAATTTTTTAAAGGAGTTTTATTTTCAAATTGGGAATTAGGAATTGTTTGTGTTTTGTGGAAATACTTTTTAGGGGTTAGGATGTCTGAAATTTATGCTGTGAACTAAATTTTTGCCATTGAAGGTGGTGTTGTTTCATGTACTTCTCTGTGGGAACGGATTTCTTTAGATTGAGGAGAATCTGCTTAAATTTTGACCTAAAAAATGTTTGTTTTCATTATGTTCTGTTTCAGTGGTGATCGATCTCCTTTGTTACCAAGTTACACCATCAACCTCAAAGACATTCATGAAAAGTTGTGCAACATTATAGATATTCAGTTTCTTCACGGTTACTATGAACCTACCCTGTTAATACTTTATGAACCACTGCAAACTTGGCCAGGGTGAGTAAATCATTGTGTTTACAGTGCTGGTAATTTGGTTAGTGTTTTTCTGACCAAAAGTTATGGCCTTCTCTTTTTTTTAAGAATTCACTTGAGAGAGTGCAGAAATTGTTAATAGTTTACTTGTGGAATAAGAGTGTTTCTTTTTATGTGACCATCTACCCTTTTAATTTAGAAATATGAAGTCTTAATCAATTTTGGGCAGAAAAATTCATTGTTGTTCCCAAGAAAAATGGGTTTCAAATGGCAAATGTAAACTTGCTTAGGGTTAGGGTTGGTCAGACAGTCTGAGAAGTCACCAGTAATTATTGCAATGAAACTAAAACTAAACTGTGTATGCAAATCATACAAAATTGTTGCCAGCTTTTTTTTAGCTTCAGAGATGCCAGGCTTTCTAATAAGTGAAGTGTATGCTGGACTCAGCACCAAAAACTCTGTTTGAAGTCAGTTTATTCTGAATGGAAGTAATGGGATAATAAGAGGGAAATTGTTTTTCTTACTTTTCTCATGCGGGTGCTTTACCAAGGAAACCACCTTCTTCAAATCTTCTTGAAAGTGCTGTTATGGTTACAATTGCTTTATTATGTCTATTTATGGCTTGGCTACATATCACTGACTTCAATTGCACAATAATGGTATGAATAATTTTCTGACAAACATTCAAGGACAAGCTATAAGGATGTTTACAGTTACATTAAAAGTGAAGTGGTCCATTTATTCCAATCTCAATATGTTTGTTACTAGCCGTCTTGCCATGCGACATGACACATGTGCTTTGGTCGCTGTCTCCCTGAATTTATCTCAGCGCACTCATCCAGTTGTGTGGTCCCTGAATAA